GATGCAAATAACTGAACGAGCTTACCTTGTAAATCCAGAATGATGTGAAGACAAAATACATCTTAATGAAGATACTGCAAAAAGGGAGAAGTCCCCCATATGTGAGGCAATGTAGAGCATGACATACCAGTTCTCAGGGATAGTACGTGGAATAGTCTTCACAGAGCATGGATTGTTTTGGAAACCATTCCAATTCCTACCAAAGGCTGTGCTGAGAAGTGCAAGAGGGAGTGAAATGAAAGCCCATGATACAAACGCGGTTAGTATTGCCCCAAATGGAATAGCTGCCAGTAAGCCAAAAAATATAGCAACTGTGTTAAGCATGAAGCCTATTCCAAAGCACATAAATGCAAACAATGATGCTCTCTAGATCATTTGTCTTCATCCAGTTTTTTCCTGGCAATGAGGAATATGAAACAAATTTAATTATAAAATAAAGACTAATTTAATCATATTTCAAGCCAGGAGCTTCTTAAGATTGCCATATATTTGCTATTTCAGAATATAAAGATGACTAATTTGTGACAAACCATACCAATTCTGTGCATAAAGTCCACCTCTTAAATAGCCTGTAATGAATGATGTAAGAGCATAGCACACCATAAAGGTTGTCACAATAGCCCCACGTCTGTCACAAACCAAAACCCATTACTGATGAGTAGATAATCATTAGAATCCACTTTTGGCAGTTAGATAAGATAATGATAAGAACACAACTGTGAACCATCAAGAGATCAAAGAGGTAAAATATTCATGTTTATAAAGAAACTCCTATACTTTTTGGAAACTCTACGCAGAGATTCCATCAGTATACTGATGGTATATCAGAGACAATTAGCCTCCTGCCGTGCAAGTATATCTGCAAGCATGAAGTTAAATTTACAATAACCGCACGACAGGAATATCCTAGTTATATCTCAAACACTTCATTGATATGAGTAAATTTGATGGACCTGTTCTAAGGGATGAACTTCTGGACCAGGCACATAGAAAAGGCAATGGGATGGTCCTACTAGCTCAAGAACCTTGTTAGAATGAGCATTTACCGTATAGTTAAAACTACTAAGTGCAATTTATTAATAGTAGGGCCAACTCATCTAGTCTCCTATACTAATCCAAGTCACAATCATCTTCCAATTTTGAACTACTGGGATGTTGCAATATAATCCTTGAAAGTACACCAACATCATATGCTCAAGCAGTATCATAGAGTGGATTTTGTGTCTAAACTGTCGATGCCAGTGATGATACTAGACACACAGTATCTTTTCACCTTTTTTCCCCTCGGAAACATACTATGAAGCCGAGTTATTTTGGCCAAGGCACTCTGTTTCCTTCCAAGTGAATCTGTATTAAACTATTGGAACATCCATCCAAAATAAGATAACATAAGTACCCATATGTAGATAATACATTTGGAGGTAAGACCTGTAAAGGTTTTGTTCATGTTTCTCTTATAAGGGATCCACAATTTGTTGAGACTCGTGAAAGATTTCAGCAATCTCAAGAATTAGAAACGAAGAACCTACACGCTAACACAACACCCGAACACAAATGAAGAACTAGAAACCCTAATGCTTGAATCGATCCGGCGTAGACGGATCGACCCGCCCATCGTGCCAATACAATTCTTCGATTCCAAGTTGACGCGTGCGCACGGAACCAGCGAACAGATCAAAAACTCACCAGCCAAGAGTCCCGCAGAGCTTCCATCCGTTCACGGTCGCGATCAAGATCTCGAAGAACAACGTAACAAGAGATCAATAAACCGATGGGGGTGGAGGGAGGGATGAAGGGGGGACGGAATCGGGGGCAGAGGCAGCGAGAAGGCGAGAAGGCGAAGGGTTGTGGGAACTACGGAGCATCGCCGCGGGAGGAGACGAAGCCGAGTTTAAACCGATTGA